ATATCAATAAATTGAGTTAATTCTAAAAATTTATTGTCTAGTTGGGTTAAACTCAAAGTTATAAAGTTATATCGAAGAACAATTTTGTTATTTTTATACCATTATTCATTATGAATATGAATATCCAATCTTGGGTAATTTCTTAATTTCATAATGAATTGATAAAATTGAACTTGTTGACGGATATATCTTTGCATAGTTATTAATTAATTTTGTAAAAAAAAAATCACTTTGAAGGCAAGATTATATAGTTCATATCTGAGTGATTAATAACTGTTCATTATTTATATGCAAAACTATTGTTGAAAGTAGCTATTTTGGATGTAATTCATATCGAGCTTATTTAAGATTATTAGATGGTTGTTGTAGTCTATAAATTTGATGTAGTATCATTTAAAATTAAATCTCATAAATATTTATTTATACCAGTTGTTTATGACATCTCGATAAATATAATATATTTTAATAATATTTAATAAAATGGTGTAATCACTTGCTTGAAATGGAATACTTTTGAAAAAACATGTAATTATCTATCAAAAGAAATGAAGATCAAGAATTGAAACAAAAAACTAAAGTTAGAAGAAAATTATTAAAATTGCAATTGTAATGATTTTAATCAATGATCACATTCACTTTTGCTTTAAGCCCTCTAAAAATAAACTTCCTTTGGATTTAAACAATGGTTTTACATCTTTCCCTTAATGATTAATGAATAATCCTTATAGGATAAGTGTTCCTGATGCTTCTAATAAAGGATTCTAACATATTTTAAGTTTTGTACGATCAGGATTAACTAAATAATAATTAATAATAAATACCGTTTGGCAATAAGGAGCTATTCTAAAGAGGTATGTTAAACTAGGCAAGCAAATCTTTATAGCTACTATCTGATTGAAGTATTTCCTTTGATGTGTTTACATTCCAAAGACGGATAGAGTGATCTTAACTTCCAGAAGCTAATATATTTCCATCAGGAGAGTAACAAATTGAATAAACTGCTTCAGAATGATCGTCTAATTTGGATTTTTATTATCCTGTCTTAACATCCCATAACCGGATAGACATATCTCCACTACCAGATGCTAATGTAGCACCATCAGGAGAGAAACAAACAGTCATAACATAGCTAAAATGACCATCTAATTTGGCTTTTTATTATCCTGTCTTAACATCCCATAAACGGATAGAGTTATCTGAACTGCCAGATGCTAATGTAGTACCATCAGGAGAGTAACAAATTGAGTAAACTGTATTAGAATGACCATCTAGTTTGGCTTTTTATTCTCCTGTCTTTACATCCCATAAACGGATAGAGTTATCTCCACTAAAAGATGCTAATGTATTTCCATCAGGAGAGTAGCAAATTGAATTAACTGCACTTGAATGACCATTTAATTTGGCTTTTTATTATCCTGTTTTAACATCCCATAAACGGATAGTGTTATCTGAACTACCGGATGCTAATGTAGTACCATCAAGAGAGAAATTGACTGACATAACATATGATGAATGACCATCTAATTTGGCTTTTTATTATCCTGTCTTAACATCCCATAAACGGATAGAGTTATCTGCACTACCAGATGCTAATGTAGTACCATCAGGAGAGTAACAAATTGAATTAACATAATATGAATGACCATCTAATTTGGCTTTTTATTATCCTGTCTTAACATCCCATAAACGGATAGAGTTATCTGCACTACCAGATGCTAATGTAGTACCATCAGGAGAGTAACAAATTGAATTAACATAATATGAATGACCATCTAATTTGGCTTTTTATTATCCTGTCTTAACATCCCATAAACGGATAGAGTTATCTGCACTACCAGATGCTAATGTAGTACCATCAGGAGAGTAACAAATTGAATTAACATAATATGAATGACCATCTAATTTGGCTTTTTATTATCCTGTCTTAACATCCCATAAACGGATAGAGTTATCTGCACTACCAGATGCTAATGTAGTACCATCAGGAGAGTAACAAATTGAATTAACATAATATGAATGACCATCTAATTTGGCTTTTTATTATCCTGTCTTAACATCCCATAAACGGATAGAGTTATCTGCACTACCAGATGCTAATGTAGTACCATCAGGAGAGTAACAAATTGAATTAACATAATATGAATGACCATCTAATTTGGCTTTTTATTATCCTGTCTTAACATCCCATAAACGGATAGAGTTATCTGCACTACCAGATGCTAATGTAGTACCATCAGGAGAGTAACAAATTGAATTAACATAATATGAATGACCATCTAATTTGGCTTTTTATTATCCTGTCTTAACATCCCATAAACGGATAGAGTTATCTGCACTACCAGATGCTAATGTAGTACCATCAGGAGAGTAACAAATTGAATTAACATAATATGAATGACCATCTAATTTGGCTTTTTATTATCCTGTCTTAACATCCCATAAACGGATAGAGTTATCTGCACTACCAGATGCTAATGTAGTACCATCAGGAGAGTAACAAATTGAATAAACTTAATATGAATGACCATCTAATTTGGCTTTTTATTATCCTGTCTTAACATCCCATAAACGGATAGAGTTATCTGCACTACCAGATGCTAATGTAGTACCATCAGGAGAGTAACAAATTGAATAAACTGTTGATGAATGACCATCTAATTTGGCTTTTTATTATCCTGTCTTAACATCCCATAAACGGATAGAGTTATCTGCACTACCAGATGCTAATGTAGTACCATCAGGAGAGTAACAAATTGAATAAACTGTTGATGAATGACCATCTAATTTGGCTTTTTATTATCCTGTCTTAACATCCCATAAACGGATAGAGTTATCTGCACTACCAGATGCTAATGTAGTACCATCAGGAGAGTAACAAATTGAATAAACTGTTGATGAATGACCATCTAATTTGGCTTTTTATTATCCTGTCTTAACATCCCATAAACGGATAGAGTTATCTGCACTACCAGATGCTAATGTAGTACCATCAGGAGAGTAACAAATTGAATAAACTGTTGATGAATGACCATCTAATTTGGCTTTTTATTATCCTGTCTTAACATCCCATAAACGGATAGAGTTATCTGCACTACCAGATGCTAATGTAGTACCATCAGGAGAGTAACAAATTGAATAAACTGTTGATGAATGACCATCTAATTTGGCTTTTTATTATCCTGTCTTAACATCCCATAAACGGATAGAGTTATCTGCACTACCAGATGCTAATGTAGTACCATCAGGAGAGTAACAAATTGAATAAACTGTTGATGAATGACCATCTAATTTGGCTTTTTATTATCCTGTCTTAACATCCCATAAACGGATAGAGTTATCTGCACTACCAGATGCTAATGTAGTACCATCAGGAGAGTAACAAATTGAATTAACATAATATGAATGACCATCTAATTTGGCTTTTTATTATCCTGTCTTAACATCCCATAAACGGATAGAGTTATCTGCACTACCAGATGCTAATGTAGTACCATCAGGAGAGTAACAAATTGAATTAACCCATTATGAATGACCATCTAATTTGGCTTTTTATTATCCTGTCTTAACATCCCATAAACGGATAGAGTTATCTGCACTACCAGATGCTAATGTAGTACCATCAGGAGAGTAACAAATTGAATAAACTGTTGATGAATGACCATCTAATTTGGCTTTTTATTATCCTGTTTTAACATCCCATAAACGGATAGACTTATCTGAACTACCAGATGCTAATGTACCATCAGGAGAGCAACAAATTGAATAAACTGTTGATTAATGACCATCTAATTTGGCTTTTTATTGTCCTGTTTTAACATCCCATAAACGGATGGAGTTATCTGAACTACCAGATGCTAATGTAGTACCATCAGGAGAGTAATAAATTGAATTAACACTATTTTCATGGCCATCTAATTTGGCTTTTTATTATCCTGTCTTAACATCCCATAAACGAATAGAGTTATCTGAACTACCAGATGCTAATGTAGTACCATCAGGAGAGAAACAAATTGAATATACCGTTGATGAATGACCATCTAATTTGGCTTTTTATTATCCTGTCTTAACATCCCATAAACGAATAAAGTTATCCCAACTACCAGATCCTAATGTTGTGCCATCAGGAGTGAAACAAATTGACATAACCAATTTTGAATGACCATCTAATTTGGCTTTTTATTATCCTGTCTTAACATCCCATAAACGGATTGATTTATCATCACTACAAGATGCTAATGTATTTCCATCAGGAGAGTAACAAATTGAATTAACTGCACTTGAATGACCGTCTAATTTGGCTTTTTATAATCCTGTTTTAACATCCCATAAACGGATAGAGTTATCTGAACAGCCAGATGCTAATGTAGTACCATCAGGAGAGAAATTGACTGACATAACATATGATAAATGGCCATCTAATTTGGCTATTTATTATCCTGTCATAACATCCCATAAACGGATAGACTTATCATCACTGCCAGATGCTAATGTAGTACCATCAGGAGAGTAACAAATTGTTTTTACATAATCTGAATGACCATCTAATTTGGATTTTTATTATCCTGTCTTAACATCCCATAAACGGATGGAGCCATCTGAACAACCAGATGCTAATGTAGTACCATCAGGAGAGTAGCAAATTGAAATAACATAATTTGAATGACCATCTAATTTGGCTTTTTATTATCCTGTATTTACATCCCATAAACGGATAGACTTATCTCCACTACCAGATGCTAATGTAGTACCATCAGGAGAGAATTAGACTGAACAAACAGGTGATGAATGACCATCTAATTTATTTAACTCATGTATTTTGAGGTTTTTCCATTTACAATTGAACAATTAAGCTTAATTCAAATTCATTCCACGTATATCCACATTATCAAATTCTGATCCATAGTACCATCGGGAGAGTACAAATTGTTTTTACATAATCTTTATGACCATCTAATTTGGCTTTTTATTATCCTGTCTTAACATCCCATAAACGGATGGAGTCATCTGAACTGCCAGATGCTAATGTAGTACCATCAGGAGAGTAACAAATTGAGTAAACTGTATTAGAATGACCATCTAGTTTGGCTTTTTATTCTCCTGTCTTTACATCCCATAAACGGATAGAGTTATCATCACTACCAGATGCTAATGTAGTACCGTCGAGAGAGTAACAAATTGAATAAACTATTCCAGAATGACCATCTAATTTGGCTTTTTATTATCCTGTTTTAACATCCCATAAACGGATAGACTTATCTGAACTACCAGATGCTAATGTACCATCAGGAGAGCAACAAATTGAATAAACTGTTGATTAATGACCATCTAATTTGGCTTTTTATTGTCCTGTTTTAACATCCCATAAACGGATAGAGTTATCATCACTACCAGATGCTAATGTAGTACCGTCAGGAGAGAAACAAACTGAATAAACCGTTGATGAATGACCATCAAATTTGGCTTTTTATTGTCCTGTTTTAACATCCCATAAACGGATGGAGTTATCTGAACTACCAGATGCTAATGTAGTACCATCAGGAGAGTAATAAATTGAATTAACACTATTTTCATGGCCATCTAATTTGGCTTTTTATTATCCTGTCTTAACATCCCATAAACGAATAAAGTTATCCCAACTACCAGATCCTAATGTTGTGCCATCAGGAGTGAAACAAATTGACATAACCAATTTTGAATGACCATCTAATTTGGCTTTTTATTATCCTGTCTTAACATCCCATAAACGGATTGATTTATCATCACTACAAGATGCTAATGTATTTCCATCAGGAGAGTAACAAATTGAATTAACTGCACTTGAATGACCGTCTAATTTGGCTTTTTATAATCCTGTTTTAACATCCCATAAACGGATAGAGTTATCTGAACAGCCAGATGCTAATGTAGTACCATCAGGAGAG